TCTCTCTCTCTCTTTCTAGCAGTTCTTTTTATCCTTTCTTTTTCTCTACTCTCTTCCTTTCCTGTTTCACATTCTGCTCCTGTTTTGTTTTTCAAACAAAGCTCCTCATTATAAATTAATTTGGTTAACAAACCTTTAGTGTCTGAAATTGTTATAGAAAAGATGACGATCTCTGAAAATGACACTTTTGAGTTTCTTTAGGTGTTTATATTATTTTGATAATTAAGCTTTCAGATGATCCAAATGCAGCGGTGTGATGAGAAAGTGGATGATGATGATGATGATGATGATGATGATGATGATGATGATGATGATGATGAAGCCTACGTAGCAAAACGTTGAGCCGATTCATATAACACATTATAAACATTTTATCATTATTTTTGTCTGTAAATCAAGCAAGACTCTCCCTCTTACTATGCATTTTAAACACTGATGATGATGATGATGATGATGATGATGAGGATGATGATGATGATGATGATGATGATGATGATGTTGATGCTGTTGTTGGTTGTTGTTTTTTTCTTTCTGTAAACCAATGACGATAATGTCGATCATTGTAGTACACTGTTACCTCCATCATTCGACAGGTGTAGGGGACATACTGATGGGTGTATACCTCACGATCATTGCGTGGGCCGACATTTCATACCGTGGTGATTTTGCCTGGAGTGAGAACAAATGGAGGGAAAGCGACACGTGCAAGTTTGCAGGATTTCTCTCTATACTCTCCGGGTATGCCGTCTACATCTTTCTCCTTGTTGAAGGGAGGAATTTAAAGATGGTTTCCCATCTTCTTTTGAATTCTTATCGGGGAAAGAAAAGAAATCAACTGAGGTAGTGTTTGATGAAGCCCACGTGGGACGCTCACTGTTAAAAACAATCAGGAAACGACAAATACAGTTTTTGGGACACCTGAATAGACATAAAGGTTTTGAACTTCTAGCTCTCAATGGCAAACTAGAAGGCAAACGAGGCACAGATAGGCCCAGAGTAACCTACTTAGAGAACCTAAACAAACGGGTAACGGAGAAAGATCAGGGAAACGTAGCTTTTTTAAGAGCATCCGTGAAAGGAATGAATGGAAAAACATGATCACTGATGTCTGTAGCAGATGATGATTCCCACCTTCATGCAATATTATACCAAACATTATTTTACCCCCTACCCCCCCAACCCCCCCCCCACAACAACGAACAAAAATAAACAACAACACGAACCCAATCCGAGTGCCAAATTAAGATAATGGTCATGATCATAATCCGAAGTTATCATTTGCTTTAAAATGTATAAGTTGCCTGTTCTTTGATGTTCTACGTCATAAGGTGGTAAGGGAGGTGTCCGCTGATTGTCTGTCGCAATTTTGAACCTCAGTAACAATGATTGTGATGGCAAACCGGAGAAGGCGGAGATGCAGAAGGAGGAAAGGAAGGGGGGGGGGGGGATGAAATCTTTTATTCATTATTCTGTTCTCTGTACGGCGTGATCAGGATGGTCACTAATTCTTTTCCCCAGAGAGGCTTCCACGATGTTCGTAACTTTGATCACACTGGAACGATTCTTAGTCATCAAATACCCGTTCGGTGAATATCGTTTTTCGACTCTTGCCGCTTACTTGTCGTGTCTTGGAGCCTGGGTACGTTGCTGTTGTTGCTGCTATTCCCTTTCCTCCTTCCCTTCAACTTTTATCAAATTGTGAAGAATAGAAGATTTTTCTATGGCCTGTTGTTACTGCTGTCTTTTGTTTCGTTATGTTAAAAGCAATGGGTGAAAAGAAAATGGACCTCATTCTTCTATGCATTATTTTTGTTACAATAAAACGAAACTACATGTATAAGTACTACGTACATATATAATTTCACATTTACTAGTTTTAATCTTTTAGCTTTAATGGCATAAAATGTCAGTAAAGATGTTCAAAAGACTTGGTAGATGGTCATATCGTATGATGTGATAATATTTATGATGGTCTTCCCTGATTGAAGAAAAGGAAGCGTGTACATGCATGCATTGATATATTGAGCCAATGTTATAAATAATTGATTCATCCGACCAAGGAAGTGCATGCTCATTACATCTATGTGTTCATTCATTTATCACTTTTAGTATCTTAACCCTTATATTATATGTCTAACTGTTTTTCTAAATACGAATATGTTATACTCATCAACAAATAGAGAAGAACCAAAACAAGGACAGCAAATACATGCTTTCCAAAATCAAAGAAGTAAGTGGGATAAAAGGATGCTCAAATACAGGATGCATAAGATCAAAGGGAGGGGATATTGTAATGGAAGGGTTGGCCCAGAACAACATACTTAGGGAACCTAAACAAATGGATAACAGGGAAAGATCAGGGAAACGTAGCTTTTTTGAGAGCATCCGAGCAAAGGAATGAATGGAAAACCATGATCGCCCATGTCTGTCGCAGATCTGGCACTGGATGATGATGATGATGATGATGATACTCATCGAATATTGCTGTCTTTCAGCTGGGATTGAGCATCCCTCTTAGCATAATATGATGGTCCTGCCAGACAGGGTCGAAGCCCGCTTCCTGAATGATCTACTCATAAACTGCGTGGATGGGGGCATCAAACACCTATTACAACTTTCACTATACTAATCGATCGAGTTACCTTCTATCTATGAAACGATATTAAATAATTTATCATACCGTACATGTGCAAGTACCCATTAACACGAGTTATTTCGCTCTTACTCCTTCAGTGCATCAGCATTCTTATCGCCGCTGTGCCTTTCTTCCCGGGCCACGAGGATTGGGCTCTGTTCTCAGCCAGCAGCCTCTGTCTCGCGGTTCCTCTGGACAATGCTCAACACCCCGGCCACATCTTCTCCTCGGTGGTATACATGGGCATCAACTTTGTCATGTTTGTGCTGCTAGCCGGTGGGCAGTGGGCTGTCTACAGGTTTGTCTGCTAGATTGCTTGTCGATCGGTGGAATAGATGATTCCACGGAGAAGGAAACATGAATTCCTAGATGGAAAATTAAACGACGCTAAAGAAAGTCAAAATTAATGCCTTCTTATCGGCATACACCACGAACACACTGCGTCTGTGTGCTGTAAATGTGTACCTTATGAATAATCAGTTTAATCAATTAAATTATAATTTAATTTTTGGTTGTTCTGTTTTTTTATTTTGCTTTTTTTGTTAATGGAAAGGGAGGTGGGGGGACTAAGTGACTTAATGTCGCCTCTTTGGTCAGATGTCGCCAGCATCGTTATTCGAATCTCCGCACAGATCATCATGTATTGATACGTTAGATTATATAAAGATATAGATATATAGATACAGATATATTGTAAGTATATATGATATATAGATATGATATAATGCAAATATTGATATGCTATAGACATGTACATAATAGTATATTACATACACACAAACATAAACAGACAGACAGGCACACAGACGTACATAATGAGAGAGAGAGAGAGAGAGAGAGAGAGAGAGAGAGAGAGAGACAGTCAGACACAGAGAGAGAGAGAGAGTGAGAGAGAAAGAGAGAGAAAGAGAGAAAGAGAGAGAGAGAGAGAGAGAGAGAGAGAGAGAGAGAGAGAGAGAGAGAGATAGAGAGAGAAACACGTTTTTTGTGTTTGGTTTTTTTTTCTTCGTCTTCAGGGCGATGTCGGCAAACTCTCGTACCAAATTCGTCGGCAAATGTGCTAGAAAAGCTCGCCGTCAAGAGATTGCAGTGGCGAGACGGTTGTCCGTGATTGTTATAAGCAACTTCCTGTCTTTTTGCCCCATTGCAGTTTTGGGTACGACTTCGGATATATCCAAGAAATATGTATAACAATGTACAATTCTGTTTGTTTGTTTTTTTAATCTTTGATGTAAGTACAATAGTGGGCGTTTGTTTAGATTATAAATGAATAGATCGAAAGTCTAATTATATTGCATTTAAATGAAATTATTACTTTGGTCGAAGGTGGGGGTGGGGAGGCATGAAGCCAATGGGGTCAGTCAATGTTAGTCGTACACCTTAGCCTATAAAAATCTAGATTCTATATTGTAGAAAAGATGTGCCAACATTGATTTCCGTCGTTATTCAATGGAGAAATTTCAAAATCTACTAAAGACTAAATATCGGCGTTGTTATTGGATATCTTCATATAGGCTACAATGCATCTAAAACCGTGACTTTTTGTCTTATTTATATAATCCAAAGTTATAGTTATTTTGAGCGTTGGTTTCTAAGAGAGTTTTCTCTGCTGCTTTCAATCAGATACGGGTACCTAATTGCTTTACTTGTATATCTATTGGGTTTTTTTTTAATATTTAAAATGCTTGCTGGTCCAATTCCCAGGTAACGTCTTTTTCGATCATTTTACATCCATATCTACTACATTCTCAGAAACAAGCAAAACTATTAGGTTTGAAGTAATAAACTATAAATATTCCTTCGATAAAAAACTATTTTTAAAAAATGTTCCAAGCTACTGTTGCTAACAGGTCTTCGATATCATAACGTTCTATAGTATACAGTATGTAATTTTCGGAATGGATCTCAGGTTATGATACTATTGATACACTTGTTTGCTGGTACATTTTGGTCAAGTCCGATACTCTAGACTTTATTTATAATCATCTGCGTTCCGTCCGTGATGTTTAAGCTGAGATCTGAACTATAATATCTCTAGGCTGTGTGTGTGTGTGTGTGTATGTGTGTGTGTGTGTGTGCATTAATGTATATTGCTTGAGAAGAAAGGAAGTAGTAAGAAAGGTTTTTGAAAAATGGGTATTCCAATGTAAAGCGCATTGAGCTACTTTTTTTTGGAAATGCGCTCTATAAATGTTATATATTATATATTATTAGGCTTACTGCGGCTACTGAAGGGTGTGGAGGACATGCAGCGAGCCTACGTGTGGACGGCTGTCCTTATACTGCCCATCAACTCAGCCCTCAACCCCCTCCTGTATACACTGCCAAGCATAAAGAACAAATGGGTATGCGTCTTTGCAGAACTTTATAGTGTCTTCTCATTAAGACAAAAGGGGAAATAGTGTGTGTGTGTGGGGGGGGGATGGGGGGTGGGGGTGGTTAAGTGGTGTGTAATCAGAATGCTCGATCCCTACTTAATGTATATCAGGTTCAGTTAAGAAGAAATAACAGAAATATGTTAGTTCACAAAGATAAATCGCTCTATTAACTCAGTGCAGTCTAATCTGAGAAAACGTGTTACAGATTCTAACGCCTAAGTTCGTCAGTTATCAGCAATATCAACGATACATAAAAAT